TTCACAATGCCTTCCATGTCCAACTTCTGAAGCCCTATCGGGATCCCAACACGATCTTCGTCGGACACCAACCGCCGCCGCCGCCGCCCGTCCTCATCCACGATGAACCCGAGTACGAGGTCGAGTCCGTGCTTGCACACCGCCGTCGACGGAATGGCAACGTGGAGCTTCTCATCCGTTGGAAGGGTTATGATCCTTCAGAGGATAGCTGGGTCTCTGAATCCGAGATGGATCATGCTCGTCGTCCTCTTCGCGACTACCTTCTCAAGCAGGGTGTTACGTCTACCACCCAGCTTTGAGGGGGGGAAGTGTGAGAGTACGACCCCGTTCCATTCCTTTTTCCTTGCCATCTTCCCTTTCTATTTCATTCCCCTTTTTATCCTGATTCCTTTGGTCTTTATCTCATGCCATTTGGATTCCTATTCCTTCTTTTCCATAAACCTTTGATTATCCTGTTATTATCATTATATCACCGACCAGGCTCGGGATGTACTGGTACGCTATATCTAGCGTAATCCTGCCGTAATCCCTTAAAGCCAATAACCTCACGTGGCAATACGCAGGGTGATTCTATTTTCTAGAAGGGTCTATTCCCTTGGATAGGATAAACTTGGTTACCTCATGTACTTTGGAAGTATAAAAGCGCCTTGTATCAATCGATAGTGCAACATTTCCTCGACACATTCGATCATGTGACAGCGTCGCTCCCTGCCCTCCCTTCCTCCCCCGCGCCGCCGTGCACGCCCTGCGTCAAGGGCTGGCTGCGCCGTGCTCCTCACTCCTCTTGGTTTCCCCCTACCATTGCGCCACTCCAAACCCTATGCCTGGACATCAGGGGTACAACCCTGGGCCGCATCGAGAACGCTACTTTCTGGTGCTCATCGATGACTTTAGGCGTTACACCACGGTGTTACCCCTAGAACGGAAGGCCGATGTGCCTGATGTTCTTATCCTGTGGGTCGTAGCTGCGCGAGTACACCGTGGCCTGCCCGTGCTGCGTCTCCACACTGACTGTGGCGGCGAGTTCGCCTCCGGTCGGCTTGGCCAGTTCTATCGTGCGGAGGGCATCACCCAGTCATACACTTTGCCAGACTTCTCGCATTAGAATGGGGTCGCTAAGCGACGCATCGGTTTGGTCATGGAGGTGGCTCATACCTCCATGATCCATGCCGGTGCACCCCATTTTTAGTGGCCGTTCGTTGTTCGCTACGCCGCTCACCAGCTTAACCTGTGGCCACACTCCCAGCGGCCGAAGGTTTCGCCGACCCTCCTCTGGACCGGGTCCCCTGGTGACACGTTTGCGTTCCACGTCTTGGGCTGCCGTGCTCACGTCCGTGCCTCTGGCAAGGACAAGCTCCCTTCCCGCACCGTCCCTTGTGTCTTCCTTGGCTTCCCCCTCGACGCGTCTGACTGGTACTTTTACCACCCGCTGTCTCACCGTTTCTTTCACTCTCGTGACGTCACTTTTGACGAGTCTATCTCCTTCTACACCCGCTTTCTGTACCGAGGTCTCCCGGTTACCCCGCCCCTGTTCGTGGTCCCAAATCCCCCAGTAGCCTCTGCTCCTCTTCCTCCCCATCCTGCCCCGTCTGGTGTGTCTCACGCCACTCCCCTTCGGACGGTTATCCCAGTGGTGGAGTTGGCCGACTCTGGGGGCCCTGCCGCTCCAGTTTTGCCACCTGTCTCTGCCCCGGTGTCTCCTCCTCCACCGCCGCAGCAGCCGTCATCGTTGCCACCGTCGCCGCTGACGCAGCCACAGTAGCAGCCGCGGTCGCCGCAGCAGCAGCAGACGTCGCGGCAGGGGTCTGCGAGCTCTGGGGGTGCGGGCGTTGAGGAGGGTGTTGGTCCTGGGGTGCTAGTTCTGGGGGTGCTAGTCCTGGGGGTACTGTCCTGGCTTGTCCCGGCGGTCCTGGGGGTGGCACCGGTGCTGAAGAGGGTTCTAGGGGTGCCGTCTTGGAGCATCCCGGTGGTAGCCGTCGTGCGGTTTGAGGTTTTGGTGTCGACGTGGAGCAGCAGCAGCAGTCGCCGCCGGTGACCGCCCTTCGCCTCCTTGGTCTTCCCTACCCCGACCACCCGCCTACGCCTCCCCCGCCACCGCCTCCCCCGCTTGTCTACGGCCATGTGTTTCCTTCGTCGAACACGTCTTCGGCTCGTTTCCCCCCTCGTTCTCCTCCTGTGTCTCCTCCCTTGTCTCCTGACCCAGCCCTCACCTCCCGCTGGTGGTCTTACCATGCCTCGCATGCTCGTCCTGTCTCTCCTGTTCAGCGCTCTCACCCGATGTTGCTCTGCTCTTATGCGTCTCGTGCTCCTCTTCTTTCGTCGCCTCCTTAGTCTTCGCTTGTCATCTCTCCACCTCCTCTCTCTGACTTCCTCCGTACTCCTAGTCTTCTTGTTCCTCGCGTTCTCGCCTCTCTTGTTACTGACCCGTCTGTTCCTATCTCTAGTCTCTCAGCTCTTGTCGCTGCCATCGGTGACGGTCCTCCGTCCGTCGGGGGTGCACCTGCTCTTCGCAGTGACGCCCTAGAGAACAGGCCGTATGAGCTAGCTTTCCTGTCCAAGGCCACTCCTCATCTCTGCTCCATGTTGCTAGTCCCTGAGGGTGACCCAGACGCTCTTGACATCCCGACCCCTCGCACCTACGCTGAGGCGACCTCAAGACCCTGGGCCTCTCAGTGGATAGCTACCATGGACGTGGAAATGACATCGACGCAGTTCCCCACCTGGGGTGAACGTAGTCGATGACCGCTGGCTCTTCAAGGTGAAGCGCCCTCCAGGAGAGCCGCCGGTGTTCAAGGCGCGCTACGTTGCTAGAGGCTTCAGTTAGCGCGAGGGTGTTGACTTCTTTCAGACCTTCGCCCTGACCCCGAAGATGACCACTCTTCGGGCGCTGCTAAACGTAGCAGTACAGCATGACTACGAGCTGCACTCCCTCAACTTCTCCACAATGTTTCTCCAGGGCAGTTTGCACAAGCAGGTCTACCTGCGCCGTCCGCCAGCTTTCACGGGCACCTTCACCCTAGGGACCGAGTGGCTCCTCCGGCGTCCTGTTTATGGCCTGCGGCAGGCGTCGCGTAAGTGGCATGGCATGTTGCGTGCTACGTTAGCTGACCTGCAGTTCTTCCCGTCGTCTGCAGACCCTTCGCTCTTCGTTCGCTCAGACCAGACCCCGTTCTACATCCTAGTCTACGTAGAGGACCTGGTCTTCGCTACTACAGATAAAGACGCACTGACTTTCATGAATGCTGAGCTGCTGAGGAGACATACATGCACTGAGCTAAGAGAGATGCACCGCTACCTTGGCTTGCAGATCTCCAGGGACAGAGCAACGCGCACCATCACATTCACTTAGTCACACTTGGTGCGCCAGGTCCTTCAGAGGTTCGATCTTCAGTTCTCCTCTGCACATCCCACACCTCTGCTAGTTGATTACAGGCTCTCGGCTCAAGTCACTGACGAGTCGGTGGTCCGTACGCGAAGCTGGAGGGTTGCCTCATGTACCTGATGACTTGCACTCGTCCAGATCTCGCATACCCTCTCAGCATCCTTGCTCGCTTTGTGGCGATGGGCAGATACCGACCACATCACTGGTCGGTTGCTAAGAGGGTTTTGCATTATCTAGCAAGTACATCGGGCATGGGGCTAGTGCTAGGAGGGCGCAGACCAGTGGTCCTTACATGGCACACATACACTTCGTAGGCGGACGACGCTGAGACGCTCAAGTCCTCCCAGGGCTACTGCTTTAGCCTTGGTGCAGGCGCCATCTCGTGGAGGTCCACCCGCTCGTCGTCTGTTGCACAGTCTAGCTGTGAGGCTGAGATCTACGTTGGTGCCATGGCGGCACAGGAGCTCCGCTTTCTGATGTTCTTGCTCACAGACTTAAGAGAGTGGCCTAGCTCTGCCCCGGTACTGTACGGTGACAACAGGACCATGATCCTCCTGTGTCAGGAGCCTTGACTGGAGGGCAGAGCGAAGCACATCTAGGTGCGGTACTTCCTCATGCGCGAGCTATAGCAGTAACGCCAAGCCCGCGTAATGCAATTGGCTTCCAGTGCCATCACAGCTGATATCTATACTAATGCGCTTGCGCCTAAAGAAAATCAGCGGCACTGTGTACAGCTTGGTCTAGTTCTATTACCTCCTCATTTGCTAGGACCTTGATTGTGTACTACTCTTTTTATATTCTCCCGACTGGCCTTGTGGCTTTTGTTCCACTGGCCGGACTAGTAGTGCCGCCCTGGTTTGCTCTTGTCTAGTTTGTATTCTTCTTACTGGTCTTCGGACCCTTGCCTTACAGGTTGGACTAGTAGTGACACCCTGAGCTGCATGTCTCTTGTCAGGCACTGCCCCTTGTCTAGCCTAGGGGGTGTGTCAACATATATTTATATATTGTTGTAGGCTAGATAGGTGCATGCTCATAGAGAATACATCACCATAGCACAAAACTGCCATGTATGCTTCTTTCTAGTCATTTGGTTACTCTGAGAGTTTTCCAGTTGCATCATTGTATTCTTGGCCTCTATATTCACACTTGGATACTCGCTATTTGTGCCACATAACACTTAGACTATGGGAATTGTTCTTAGTCTACCTCAAGATGTTACCCCTAATTCGGAGCACATTTGGGATAGCGCATAATTGGTTTCCATTGTACGATGTGAAAATACTCGTAAAACGGGCTGGGGGTTGCCGCGCTCACTGAGCGTGTTCAGCTTTTGGCGAACCACAGCGGAAAATGGGTAGTCGAGGTGAGGCTATTCATGCTGTTCCACAGCCTCAGCCAATGAGCGACCTTCGAAACCTTCACAAAACCAGAGAGAGGCAGCTGACCAACGGACGTGGCTGCACAGACGTCAGGCAGGCGACAAGCCGAACCATATTCCGTCGAGCTGACGTCCAGAAATTGACGGAATGCAATTTCGAGGAGACTCGTGGAGTGGGCAAAGCCCAAGGCCCCAACTTCAAACACTCGGATTTGACTTGGAGCTGCTGCCTGGTTTGCCTCAAAGATGGCCTGCCAGTTCTCACTCGTGTGAAAGCAGAGCTGGGGAACTCATCGCACAGCTTTGCATGCGCGACAGCCCGACGCCATCAGATACGCGTTGCGCTTGTAGGCGTGCGATGATGGGATCCTCGCGTCTTCCAGCTCTCTGATGACTCGACGGAAGCAGAGAGTAACTGCGGGTTACATGGAGTCACGCGGCGAGGACGACGACGACATGTCGCCGTCAAGCTCGTCGTTATCTCCTCTGTCGAACGGCGGCGCTAACGGATTCAATGCGCCCAGCGATCCAGGCGACTTCTTCGAAGAGCTCGAGCGCGATCTCGATTTCACCGAACCTCCATCGTCAGTACGCGTGGATGCAGGCTCCGGTGCAGGCTCGGGTGCAGGCTTGGCATCCGGCTTGGGAGGCTTCGCGGAGTATCTGGGCGACAAGGAGGGCGACGACTTCTGGAGCACCTTGAGCGACGGCTCGCCTCGCGGGCGACACGTGGCGGACGGCGACGACACGGGGACGGCCCACCCTGGTGCCACCGCGCAAGGCGTGGCGTCTGGTTACCAACAACGTGACGAAATGGAAGCGAATTTGGGGCGGTTGCTGCGAATGGATCAGGGCCAGGAGGTCGCTGCCGGAGCCAGCATCCGCGACATCGGGAGCATCGGCAGCCGTCCCCCCGCGCCCAGCCACGCGGACGGCTTTGCGTCGTCCCACCCCCCAGCGCCGGCCTCCAATCACTCCCACGCTCGCACGGCGGACGACCCCGGCGCGCTCGCGAGCGGCGCCAGCAACAACGTGCGAGGCCCGTTGGCGAACGGCCACCGCCATGGGGATGGCGACGGCGAGCGACAGGGTAACACAGGCGTCGCGATCGACGGCGAAGTGAGCAGCCCGTGGGTGCAGGGGCCCGGCGAGGGGCGGGAGGAGTGGCGCGGGGGTGAGATGGGGCGGTTGCGCGCGGAGCTAGACGCGCTGGAGGCGGAAAGGCGGCGGCTGGTGGGCGAGCGGGACGAGGCGGTGGCGGGGCTGGCGGAGGAGCAGCGGCGGAGCGAGGCGTGGATGGGCAGAGCGCAGGAGGCGGAGGCGGAGAGAGCTGCTGCGGACGCCAAGCTGGACGAGTGGGCCCGCACGCTGCAGCGGTCGAGCGCGGTGCAGAGTGGTGACGGCGGCGAGAATGGGTTAAGCGAGTCGTTAGCAGAAGCAGCGGGAAGGAGAGCGGAGTCAGGTGACGACGTGGTGAGGGTGCTGGAGGACATGGTGGCGCACAAGACGCACATGGCTGCGCGCGAGCGAGGCAGGCGCGAGGAAGCGGTGCTCAAGAGGGAGGAGGCGGAGGCGAAGCTGGCCCACGCGGACCAGGAGCTCAGGGCGCTCAGGCGACAGGTGGAGTCCATGCAGTCGGGTTACCAGCAGGTGGCGCAGCGGCGGGACGAGCTGGAGGGGCGAGTGCGCGAGCTGGAGGAGGAGCTGGAGCGCGTGGCGGCGGAGGAGAGGGAGGCGAAGGAGGTGGTGGAGGGCGCCATGCAAATGTGGCGCGAGGCCAGTGAGGCCAAGGAGCTGGCGGCGGCGCAGGCGGTGGAGCTGCAGGAGGCGGTGGAGCAGCTGCGGGGGGCGCTGGCGCTGGAGGCAGACAAGGTGCGGCAGGCGCGGCACGAGACCGTCTTGCAGGCCGAGGCCGCCAAGCAGGCGCTGGAGCGGCTGAGGGGCTTGCAGGCGCAGGCGGAAGAAGGCGCGCCTGAGGTGAAGTGGCTGCTGGAGCTGGAGACGCAGGCGGAGAAGCGGCAGGTGGAGGTGCAGCAGGCGCAGCGGCAGGCGGCGTGGGAGCGGGAGCGCGCGGAGGAGGTGGAGCGCGCGATGGAGGAGGCGCGGCAGCAGTGGGCGCGGCGGGCGAGGCGGCTGGAGGAGGACCTGCTGAGCCAGCAGCTGCAGATCGAGTTCCTCGAGGGGCTGCGCGGCACAGCGGGGGGCGGCGGCACCATGGGGGATGGGGACGGGGCTGGGAGTGGGATGAGCACGGAAAGGCGCGTGTGGGAGCTGGAGGGGCTGGTGCGGGAGCGGGGCGCGCAGGTGACGTCGCTGCAGGAGTCGCTGGTGGAGGTGGAGCGCGAGAAGGCGCAGCTGGTGGAGCGCCAGCAGTCGCTGCTGGCCGCGCTTGCAGGGGGCGACAGCGGCGCCGTGCTGACACAGCTGCAGACGGAGAGCATGGAGCTGGGCGCGCGGCTGAAGGAAGCGCAGGGGGAGATGGCACAGAAGGCGGAGGACTGGCGCGCGCTGGAGGCGGAGCTGCGGGGGCTGGTGGCGGACAAGGAGCGGGAGCTGCGGTTCAGGCTGAAAGAGGTGCGCGAGGGGCAGCAGCGGGAGAGGCGCATGGAGGCGCGGGTGCAGGCGGAGCGGGAGGAGAAGGAGGCGCTGAGGCGGGAGGTGAGCCGGCTGCTGGCAATGGGCAGCGATGCAGGCAGCGCCGTGGGTCTGGAGGGGCACGTGGATGCTGCTGCTGCTGCTGCTGGAGGCGGTGGAGTGGAGGGACGTGAGGGGAGACTGGGAGAGGAGAGCGCTGGGGCAGGGAGGCAGAAGGAAGGCGGTGAGGCGATTGAGGAGAGTGTGAGGCGGGCGAGGGAGGAGGCGGGCATGTGGCGCAGAAAGGTGACCGAGCTGGAAGGGGAGACAGACAGGCGGGATGCGGAGATCCGCGGGCTGCAGGGCGCGCTGGGGGACAGCAGCAAAGCACTGGAGGTGGCGGAGCGGGCGGCGGAGGTGAAGGAGAGGGAGGTGCAGCGGCTGACAGCGGAGGTGCGGGAGAAGGGGCGCGAGGTGTGGGACCTGATTCACGAGTCGGAGCTCAAGGCGCGCCACGTGGACGCCGTGGAGAGTGAGGCGCGCAGGAGGGCGGACGAGGTGGAGGAGCTGCAGGGCGAGGTGGCGATGCTGGAGCGCGAGGCGGACCTGCTGAGGGCGCAGGTGGGGGAGCGCGAGGGCGCCATCGACGTGCTGAGGGCGCAGCTGGCGGCGCGGGAGGGCGAGCTGGCGGGTCTGAGCGCGGAGGCGCAGGAGATGAGGCGCGACGCGGAGGCCACGGTGCGGCGGCTCAAGGCGGAGCTGGAGGAGGCGCGGGAGCAGGTGGGGCGGGGCGAGGTGCAGCTGCTGGAGGAGGAGGGGCAGAAGATCCTGGAGCTGGAGGCGCTGCGCGTGGAGCACACCATGGCCGTGCGCCAGCTGCTGGAGGTGCGGAGGGAGGTGGAGGAGCGGGACGCGCTGCTGAGGGAGAAGGAGGAGGAAGTGCGGGAGAGGCAGGAGGCAGAGCAGCAGAAGGAGCGGGAGGTGCTGGAGGCGTTGGTGGAGGCGGAGGAGCTGAAGAAGCGCGTGGCGGACCAGGTAGGGGCGGCCCTGCTCGCCAGGGAGCGCGCGGAGGCAGAGGCTGCGCGGGTGCAGGGCGAGCTGGGGGTGGTGCGAGAGGAGCTGGAGAGCGTGAGAGAGGCGCTGAGGTGGCGGGAGAGCGAGATGGAGGAGCGGGAGCGGGAGCTGCACGAGGAGAAGAGCGTGAGGGAAACAGTGGAGAGGGAGCGCGCAGGGCTGGAGCAGGAGGTGCGCGCTGGGAGGGTGAGGGTGGAGGAGGTGGAGGAGGCGCTGAGGCGAGTGAGCGAGGAGAAGGGCAGGGTGGAGCACACGAGGGAGGTGGCGGAGAGGGAGAGGAGGAGGGTGGAGGAGGAGAGGGATGCAGTGGAGTGCGCGAGGGGCGAGGAGGAGGAGGCGAGGCGGAGGGCTGAGGCTGCTGTGCAGGAGCTGCAGGAGGCGAAGGAGAAGGTGGAGGGGGAGAGAGCGAAGCTGGAGGAGCAGGTGCTGAACCTGAGGAAGGGGTGTGATGAGATAAGCATGCAAATGCAGGAGGTGGGCAAGGTGTTAGAGGAGAGGAGCGCGGAGGTGGTAGAGCTGTCGACGGTGGCTGAGGCAGCTAAAGGGGAGATTGCGAAACTGCGGCAGCAGGAGACCGAGTTGAGAGGTGCGCTGCAGGAGAGAGAGGCAGAGGTCGACGAGAAACAGAGGGCTCTGGAGGAGAAGCAGAGGGCGTTGGAAGCGGCAGAGGAGGAGACGGGCAGAGCGCAGCAGCTGTTGCGGGAGCAGAGGGAGCAGCGGGAGGCGCTGGAGAGGAAACGAGGGCAGCTAGATGAGCTGGTGGCGGGGCTGCGGGCGAGCTGCAGCTCGCTGGAGGAGGGCGGGGCGATGGAGAAGGAGAGACGGGAGGCAGCAGAGGAGGGGCTGGAGGCGGAGCGGCAAGAGAGGTTGAACGAGAGGGAGGGGCTTCAAGAGAAGATTGGTGATCTGGAGGGGAGGCTGGAGGCAGAGGAGGCGAAAGTGAGGGAGCTTCAGGGGAGGGTGGAGGAGGTGCAGGCGGCTAAAGAGGGGCTGGTGAGGGACGTGGAGGAGGGGAGGGCGAGGGAGGAGATGCTGCGGAAGGAGATTGGGGAGGAGGAGGAGAGGAGGAGGAAGGCGGAGGAGACGGTTGTGCAGCTTCGCGAGCAGCTGAATGCAGCCGAGGCGGAGCTTGAAGAAGTGAAGGTGAGGCTGGAAGAGACGGATAGCGAGAGGAAGCGAGAGGCGGAGGAGAGGAAGAGAGCAGGTGAGGAGAGGGAGCAGTTGAAGAGGGGTCTGGAGAAGGAGAGGGAGAGGCTGGAGGAGGCACGGAGCGAGCTGGCAGCGGAGAGAAGCGCCTTGCAGCGCATGACAGAGCAGGCGGCGGAGGAGCAGCGGAGGAGGGAGGAGGCGGAGCAGCAGGGCCGCATGGTGGGCGAGCAGGTGCAGCGGCTGCAGGTGCAGCTGGTGGCGGCAGGGAGGGAGCGCGAGGAGCAGGAGGAGGAGGTGGCGGTGAGGGAGACGCTGCTGCAGAGCCTCAGGGAGGAGCTCGAGGGGGAGCGGGCGAGGGCGAGCAAGTTTGAGGGGCGCGTGAAGGAGCTGGAGGAGGCGGAGAGGGGGCTGAGGGAATCTCTAGAAGCTGAGGTGCGCAGGCGGAAGGAGGCTGAGGAGAGGGTTGAGAGGGAGACGGCTGCTGTGGGCGAACTGACGGGGCAGGTAGAGGATCTGCAGGCGTTGAGGAAGGGGCTGGAAGTGGCGCTGGAAGGGGAGAGGCAGGCGAGGGAGGTGGAAGCAGTGAGAGTGAAGGAGGTGAGCGGTGAGAAGGAGGAGGTGGCGGGGGAGTTGAAGCGGGTGACAGAGAAGCTGAAGGGGGTGGAGGAGGAGAAGGCAGCGGTGAGCGTGCAGTGTGAGACGGTGCAGGAGGAGCTTGACTCGGTTCATAATAGATTGGAAGAGGCAGAGAGGGAGGCGAAGAAGGAGGTTGAGGCACACAGCAAGGCGATTGCTGCCGAAGAAGTTGCCAGGAGTGCTGCAGAGGGGCGAGTGGGTGAGCTGGAAGGGGAGATGGAGGTGCTCAGGGCGAAGGTTGAGGAGAAGGAGCAGGAGGTGGCGGCTCTCACTGCAGCGAGCGACGGCGCCAAGCGATTACTGGAGGCGTTCAAGGGCAAGGTGCAGAAGCTGGAGGGCGACGTGGGCGCTAAGGCAGGCGAGGTGGAGGCGCTCAGGGCGGAGGCGGAGGAGCAGAGGGAGGCGGGTGCTGGGCTGGCGAGGCAGCTGGCGGAGGCGCGGGCAGCGCGGGTGAAGGTGGAGGAGCGGGTGGGCGCGCAGGAGAAGGCGCTGGAGGGGCGGAGGGCGGAGGTGGACGGGCTGAAGCGCGAGAAGCAGCGGCTGGGGGAGCAGCTCCTGCGCGCGCAGGAGGAGAAGGAGCGCGCTTTGAGTGAGGCGGTGGCGTTCAGGCGGGAGGGCGAGCAGCTGAGGGAGCAGGTGGGCGCGTGGAAGGAGCGAGAGAGGGCGGCCGTGGCCAGGGCGGAGGAGGAGAGGCAGGCGCGCAGGGAGGCGGAGAAGGAGGGGGAGCGGCTGAGGTTCGAGGTGGAGGACGGGTCGGAGATGGCGGTGGGGCTGAAGCTGAGGGTGGGCGAGCTGGAGGCCGCGGCGGGGAAGCTGAGGGAGAGGGCGGAAGAGGGCGAGAGGCAGGGGCGGGAGCTGCGGGAGAAGCTGGGAGGGGCGGTGCAGGAGATAGAGAACCTGCAGGAGAGCATTGGGCGGCGGGAGGAGGAGGTGGAGGAGGAGAGGAATGCGAGGAGGCGCGTGGAGGGAGAGGTAGAGGCGGCGAGGCACCAGGTGAGGGGTCTGGAGGCGGAGATTGAGCAGAGGGAGCAGCAGGTGCAGGCGCTGAGAGGGGAGCTGGCAGGTGCTGAGGAGAGGCTTGGGGCGAAGGAGAGGGAGGCGGCTGAGCTGATGGGCGCCGTGGAAAGAGCGAGGCGGCAGGCGAAGGAAGAGAAGGAGGAGAGCGAGCGGGTGCTGCAGGAGACGAGGGCGGAGCTGGAGAGGAAACTAGAGGCTCTGGGGCGAGAGAAGGAGGAGGAGGTGGCACGGATGGTGGGTGAGATAGAGCGAGTATCGAGTGAGCTGGATGAGCAGCGAGCAGAGGCCATGCGGCTTCAGAAGAGTGGGAAAGAAGCTGAGGAGAGGAGGAAGGAGGTGGAAAGCAGAGTGGGGCAGCTGGAGGGCGAGCTGCAGGTGGCCGTGGAGGGCAGGGCGGCAGAAGCGGCGGAGAGGGACGCCCTGCAGGTGGCGCTGGGGGAGCTGGAGGAGGCGGGGGAGCGGCTGAGGGGCGAGGTGCAGGCGAGCAGGGGGCAGCAGCAGGCGCTGCAGCAGGAGAGAGAGGCGCTGGTGGCGCAGGTGGGCGAGCTGGAGGAGAGTCTGTCAGCGGAGGGCAAGGCGTGCAGGGAGCTGCAGGGGGAGGTGAGTCGGCTGCTGGGGCTGTATGAGGAGGCGTGCGCGGAGGTGGAGAGTGAGCGGGCACAGAGGGAGGAGGCGGTGCTGGCGCTGGAAGGGGAGCAGGCAGCGGTGGAGCAGGAGAGGGCGCGCATGCAGGGCGAGGTGGCGGCCATGGCGGCTGAGGTGGAGGAGGTGAGGCGGCGGTACGAGGAGGCGAAGGAGGAGGCAGAGGAGGAGCGGGCCAAGGGCGCGAGCATGGAGGAGGAGGTGGCGCAGGCAGTGGAGGAGAGCCGGCGCATGCGCGACGAGGTGAGGCGCGCGCAGGAGGAGCGGGAGGGATTGGTGGGGGAGGTGGATGTGATGAGGGTGACAATAGAGGAGCTGCAGCAGGGCGTGGAGGCGGCCCTGGAGACAGTAGTGCAGCAGCGTGCGCAGGGGGCGAGCGCACAGGAGGAGGTGGCGAGGGAGAGGAGGGGCAGGGAGGAGGCGGAGTGCGCGCGGGAGGAGGCGGTGCGGCATGTGGAGGAGCTGGAGGGCGCGGTGCAGGCGATGGTGGGGCAGATGGAGGCGAGTGCACGGGCCATGGGGGTGGCGGAGGAGGAGATGAGGGCCAAGGAGGGCGCTTGGCTGGAGGAGGTGAGGGAGGCGAAGCAGGGAAGGGCGCAGGCAGAGGCAGCGGTGGTGGCGCTCAAGGGGACGTTGAGGGCGGCGGAGGAGGAGGTGGCGGTGCTGAGGAGGGAGAGAGAGGCGATGGTGGAGGGCAGGGATGGGGAGGTGAGCGGGTTGAGAGAGAGGGTTAGGCAGCAGGAGGAGGAGGTGCGGCGAGTGAGGGGGGAGTTAGAGGAGGCGGAGAGGAGAGTGAGTGAGGAGGGGGAGAGAGCGGCGAGAGCACAGGCAGAGGTGGGGGAGCTGCAGGGGATGGTGGCGGAGATGCAGAGAGGGCTGGCTGACATGGCGGGGCAGCTGGGGGCGATGACACGGGAGGTGGAGAGAGCGAGGACAGAGAAGGAGGAGGCAGTGGGGGAGGCGGAGAGGCAGCAGGCGGAGCATGAGAGGCGCGTGGAGGATCTTACCGCTGCTTTGAGGGAGGCAGAGGGGCGTCTGGAGCAGGCGAGGAGGGAGAAGGAGGAGGGCGACGCTGGGCTGAGCAGCATGCTGGCGGGGCTGAAGGAGAGGATGGAGGCAGCGATGGCAGGGAAGGCACAGGCGGAGAAAGAGGCGAGGGAGGCGAGGGAGGTGGTGAGGCGGGAGAGGGAGAGGGCGGAGGAGGCGGAGACGGAGGTGGAGAGGCTGGAGGACGTGCTGAGCAAGATGGAGGAGGAGCGCGTCGTGGCCCGGACGGATAGGACCAACGTTGCCAGGCTGGCAGAGGACATGCAGGCTCGCGTTGCTGAGCTGGAGGCTGAGCTGTCAGACACCCGTGCTGAGCTGGAGCAAGCTCAGGCTGAGCTGGAAGAGGCTCATGTTGAGCTGGAGCAGAAGCGTGCTGACTTGGAGGAGAGTACTGCAACGTTGAAGGTGGTGATGGGCGATGCAGAGCGGTTGAAAGAGGTGGTGAGAGTACAGGAGGCAGCAGCGGCGAGGGAAGTGGCGGGAGCGAAGGGGGATGCGGCCAAGACAGCAGCGAGTGTGAGGCAGCTGCAGGGGGAGGTGGCACAGCTGCAGGCTGCAGTGCAGGAGAAGGAAGAATCAGTGGAGATGCTTATAAAGGAGACGGGGGAGCTGAGGCGAGCAGTGAGACAGAAGGAAGCGGAGTGCCGGCAGACAACAGAGGCAGCAGCGAAGCAGCAGCAGCAGATGGCCAAGCAGACACAGGCGCTGGAGGGCAAGCTGCAGGCGAGTGTGGAGGAGGTGAGGGCAGTGAGGGAGGAGAGGGAGCGCGAGGCGAAGGGCTTGCGGGAGGAGATAGAGGCGCTGAGAGAGGCGGTGCAGGCGAGGGAGGGCGAGGAGAGGCGCGCCAAGGCAGCGCTGCAGGCCGCCCTGGAGGGGATGAGCCGCGAGGGGGCGGCAGAGAGGGAGGAGGCGGAGAAGCGAATGGAGGCTGAGGTGCGGCTGGCAGAGGCCGAGGCGGACGTGGGCGAGGCACGGCGGCGCGTGAAGGAGTACGAGGCGGCGCTGGCGCTGGCTGCCGCGGAGGTGGAGGAGGAGAGGCAGCGGCGCGAGAGGGAGGTGCGGGAGGCGCAGGAGGAGGCGCAGGAGTGGAGGGAGGCTGCGAGGGGGAAGGAGGCGGAGGTGAGGGGGGAGAGGGAGGCACGGGAGAGGGACAGGAGGGAGATGGAGGAGGAGAGGCAGGTGTGGGAGAGGGAGAGGGAGCGGGTGGGGGAGTCAGGGGAGAAGGAGAGGGAGGCGAGGGGGAGGCGGGAGAGGGAGCTGCGGGCGGAGATGGAGGAGAGGGAGATTGCTTTATTGGAGCAGATGGAGGAACTGCAGGAGACGTGGGCGAAGAAGATGGAGTTAAAGAGCAAGGAGTGGCAGGCGGAGAAGGGTGCGCTGGACCAGCTGATGGTGCGTGAGATGGAGGCGATGCGTCGGGAGAGGGGCAGCATGGAGGAGCGGGAGAAGGTGTGGCGAGGGGAGGAAGCGGCATGGCGGGCGAACGAGGAGGCGTGGAGGCGCAAGGAGGAGCGGTGGGCGGAGAGGGAGAGGGAGATGGAGGAGGAGAGGGAGGAGATGGCGGGGAGAGAGGAGAGGGCGAGGGAGGAGAGGGAGGAGGAGTGGAGGAGGAAGGAGAAGGAGTGGCTGAGGCGAGAGGTGAAGTTAGAAGCAGCATGGGAGGCGGAGAAGGAGGGGTGGGCGAGGGAGAGGAGGGCGTGGGAGGAGGGGAGGGTGGAGTGGGAGGGGAAGGACAGGCGACTGCGGGAGTTGGAGGAGGAGGCGGGCGAGCTAAGTCGGAAGGTGGAAGCCGCCACAGCAGCTGCAGAGGCGGCAGCGGCGCAGGTGGCAGAAGCCAGGGCTGCTGCTGCTGCTGCCACTGAACAGGCTGCTAAAGCCGCTGCCGAGGCTGCTGCTGCTGCTAGTGCAGCTGTTACAACCAGTGCAGGAGCAGCGGCGGCAGGGACAAACGGAGCGGAAGGGGTTGAGGGGGAGGAGGGCGCAGGACGGCAGGAGGAGGGTCAGAAGAAAAAGAAAAAGAAAAAGGCAGGCGGCGCAGCTGCAGGTGGAGCAGGGGGGGATGCAGGCGAGGCCGGCACGAGTGGTGGTGGTGGCGGGGGGAAGAAGGTGGTGCTGGGGGCGGAGGAGCTGAGGAAGCTGGAGGAATACATCGGAGAGATGGAGAGCAAGTGCTGCAAGATGCAGGTGAGAGGCAGATGCAGGTGAGAGGAAGTGAACTTTGAGAGGAGGTGAACTTTGAGAGGAGGTGAACTTTGAGAGGAAGTGAACTTTGAGAGGAAGTGAACTTTGAGAGGAGGTGAACTTTGAGAGGAAGTGAACTTTGAGAGGAAGTGAACTTTGAGAGGAGGTGAACTTTGAGAGGAGATGAACTTTGAGAGGAAGTGAACTTTGATAGGAGGTGAACTTTGATAGGAGGTGAACTTTGACGGGAGAGGTGAACTTTGACAGGAGAGGTGAAATGGTTGGGTTGGGAGCAGAGGGGCAGCCACGGCACTAGCAGCCAAGACATCGAGTCAGCAGCACTGGGAGGGGGTGTGGAGGGGGTGAGACCTAATCTCACTTATGTGATCTGGCTGCCAATGCTGAACCTGGCCCCGCAGGCTGGGCTGGCAGCCAAGTCATCGGAGGCGGAGGCATTGAGGGCGGAGGTGGAGGGGGTGGTGAGGCGCATGGACGAGGAGAGGGCTGCTCGTGACGCTGCTCTCACCACGCTCATGGCAGGCGTGGACGGGTGAGTGCCGGGGGGGGGGGGGGGGGGGGGGGGGGGGGGGGGATGTTGAGAGTGGTTTGGGGGGTTCTTGATGCGTGAGAATGCTGTGAGTGGATGGGCAGGAATGGACTGACTTGATGGCTGAAAGCCCTTGCAGTGCTTGGTTCTGAGTTTGTCTTCCTCCGTCGTATTCTTCATCGTCTTCTCACTTCAATCCTGCCGTGTGTAATGGCTAATGGCTATTCTTCATCGTCTTCTCGCTTCAATCCTGCTGTGTGTAATGGCTAATGGCTATTCTTCATCGTTGTCTCACTTTAATCCTGCCGTGTGTAATGGCTAATGGCTATTCTTCATCGTCTTCTCACTTCAATCCTGCCGTGTGTAATGGCTAATGGCTATTCTTCATCGTCTTCTCACTTCAATCCTGCTGTGTGTAATGGCTAATGGCTATTCTTCATCGTCTTCTCACTTTAATCCTGCCGTGTGTAATGGCTAATGGCTATTCTTCATCGTCTTCTCACTTCAATCCTGCCGTGTGTAATGGCTAATGGCTATTCTTCATCGTCTTCTCACTTCAATCCTGCTGTGTGTAATGGCTAATGGCTATTCTTCATCGTCTTCTCACTTCAATCCTGCCGTGTGTAATGGCTAATGGCTATTCTTCATCGTTGTCTCAATTCAATCCTGCCGTGTGTAATGGCTAATGGCTATTCTTCATCGTTGTCTCACTTCAATCCTGCCCCCCCCCGCACGGGCAGCATGGCTTGTTGCTGAATCCTTGTTGTCCTCCCTTCCCCAATCTGTCCTGCCTCCTTCCCCAATCTGTCCTGCCTCCTTCCCTCCAGCTCGTCCCAAGACGCAGCAGCAGCGGCCAGTGCGTTTTCCCACCACACAGCAGAGATGGCAGCGCTGGCACAGCGGGCCAGGGAGGCGGGCGCACAGGCTGCAGCGCTGGTGGGCGCAGCAGCAGGCGCGGGGGGGGAGGGGGCGGGCAAGGGCATGGCGGGAGCAGGGGCACTGGCGATTGTGGCGGCTCCTGGCGCTGGCAGCGCTGTGATGAGCGCCGAGGGCGACAGGTGGGGGGGCGGGAGAGGGGGGGGTGGTAAGGGCAGGGAAAAGGCGAGGGGAAGGCGAGGGGAATGGGGGAGGTAGAGGGCAGAATAAAGGCGAGGGGAATGGGGGAGGGTAGAGGTGAATCTGAGAGGCATGAGTGGGCCAGTCCTGGATTTGCCACCCTGCTGCCATGCACATTCACGACCGGCTCCCAAGTCCTCGTGCCATGCGCACAGTGCCATTCTCTTTTTTCTCCATGCCATCTTACTGGGGTGGCCCCCTGCCTCCTCCCTCGGGCTCCCAGTTCGCCCTTGGCACGCCACCTCATTCTGTCTCCCGCACCCCGTACCACCTGCTTCCATTCCCCCCCAGCCGCTCTCTCTCCATGGGCTCGTACTGGGGCGGGCCCCCTGCCGGCCCGCCGCAGCCAACGCCGGTGGGAGGAGGGGGATGGGGGCAGCCGCGGCGGCAGCAGAAGTGGATGGTGGACAGCGCGTGGGTGGAGAGCATGCGACGGGTGAGAGAGGCTTAGGGGGAGGGGCGTGCATGGCAGGGGTTAGAGGGATGACTTGAGGCAGCGGCAGTGGATGGCGGATAGTGCATGGGCATGCACCAGTTGAGAGGGGTGGGATGGTATGGCGTGGAATGAGGCACCCGACTGGCACTCTAAGCTTCTTCAGGTGCCATTCTGCCATGGCATTAGATACGCTCCCGTCGTCTCCCACGCTACCATTCGTTATCTCACTAACTGCCATGCTTTCCCTTGCCGTGTCATCCCGCCATGTCGCCGTGCCACCACGACTCGCCACCAGGAGCACGGGGAGTTGCGGAAGAAGCTGGAGGAGGAGAGACAGCGATCGGCAGCACTTGAGCAGGTGAGCGAGACAGGGCGCATGAAACCTCGCCTTTGATTCGATTGCGAGGATGTAATTCTTTTTCTTGCCACTTGTCATCCCCGAACCCGCAGTACATCCGCCATCTTTGCGATCCACCCCCCGCTGCTCGCCTTGGCACCTTGTGCCCTCTCCCACCTCTTATGCCCTCCTCCCACGTATGCCCACCCCTCAGGTGCAAGCGGAGGACGTGTGGATGGAGGCGGCGCGAAAGCACTGGTCTGAAATGCTGCAAGTCCCGTTGCTCACCTGGACCCCTTCACACCCCACCCCCGCCCCCCAGGTGCAAGCAGAGAAGGTGTGGATGGAGGCGGCTCTGGTACAGTTCCTCGAGTCAAGGAAGCGCTACGAAGCGGAGATTGCTCAACTCATCACCAAGGTGCGTCCTCTCATCACCAAGGTGCGTCCTCTCATCACCAAGGTGCGTCCTCTCATCACCAAGGTGCGTCCTCTCATCGTCCTCATCGCACCGTGGATGTTGTCTTCCCGTGGTTGGGTTTGCTGTGTCTTTCTTCTGATTGCTTCTCCATGCACCCCTTCCTCCCTCTGCTCTTCAGCTCGTCACATCACATCTCCCCGCTCCCTGTGCTCTTCATCTCGTCACATCACATCGCCCCGCTCTGCCACATGCGACATGTTATTGTTAGCCAAACCTCAGTTTCTTCTCTGCCCACACTCCCCTCCCCCCCACGTGTCACACTGCAACAGGTCGCTCATCTCGAAGCCAACGCAGTGGCCACCTGACCCTACCGTTCCGTGCTTCCGCTAACACTCACTCATACAGGTACCGTATCTGCTGTCTTTTTCTCCCCCTCGCCGCTCTTCAATGCCTCCAACGGTCGCCCTGCAGCAATGCTCCAGGTACATTGTGGTCCATATGTGCCACAATGCGTGTGTTTCATTACTATCACAATGTCATTGCTTGATTTCCGTGGCAGATACAAGAGCTACACTCCCAGATGTGGGCTGTGCCAGTTTTCCCTTCACGTGTGTTGAATAAGCTGAATAATGTCCTGCTTGTGAACGTGTTGAGTTCTCTAACCGATTTCAGTAAGGTGTGTCAATTACCATTGTGCTGTAAGATGAGAACATTTTAAAGCACGTTGCTAAAAACACAAAGCAGGGGCTCACTTGCAACTGATACATTTTTCCCAGGCAGAAAAAGTTTCCGCCTTGTGGCTCTGAACAGAATATGAACACACACAAAAACTGAGGCGACAAGGAACGAGGAGTCATTTTCCCGCGCCATTCTATCACACTCAGCAGGCAGGCACTCAGAGAGGAGGGCATCCTGGTGGATCAGGGTAGGGTTGTTGGAACTTGCTGCTCGCTCAGGCTTGGAACTTGGTGCTCGCTCAGGCTTGGAACTTGCTGCTCGCTCAGGCTTGGAACTTGGTGCTCGCTCAGGCTTGGAACTTGGTGCTCGCTCAGGCTTGGAACTTGGTGCTCGCTCAGGCTTGGAACTTGGTGCTCGCTCAGGCTTGGAACTTGGTGCTCGCTCAGGCTTGGAACTTGCTGCTCAGGCTTGGAACTTGGTGCTCGCTCAGGCTTGGAACTTGGTGCTCGCTCAGGCTTGGAACTTGCTGCTCAGGCTTGGAACTTGGTGCTCGCTCAGGCTTGGAACTTGGTGCTCGCTCAGGCTTGGAACTTGCTGCTCAGGGTGGTTCTCGAAGGCCATACTTAAGGCCATGGCAAATAAAATGTGCAGTAGTTACATTTCGCTAAACCCGTAAGCACTACACGGGGCGTTCACCACCACTCATGTAAGGGATACTGTAACCAGGGCCCAAAATTGGTTTTGGGCCGCCCTTTGAAAACAGGGTCGCCCCACCGAAACACCCTGTCACACAGGGTACGTAACTCAGGGTAGTCTGATTTTTCAGGGTAAACTTTTTGCAGCGCTGTTTACACAGGGTATATTTAAAACCACCCTGTTCTTTATTGCCACTGCATTGCAATTTAAAGCCATTGACTACAATAACGAACCTGTTTTTGAACTTCGGATGGACAGGAGCTTGGGTTACGGTATGTTGCAGACTTGACGAAATGTACTGTGCGACTCGTTCGACGAACTTGCGATTCAAGCGAATTGTGCGTTGGGGGCGAAATTGGATTGGAGGGGCGTGGCAGATTTGGTGAAGGGCCAATGAACGTCTCACACACACCCTCCAGCACACATCGGCAGAAACATTTGAAGGTACAATCGGTCCCCTCACACCTCCTCCAGTCAAGTTCGGAGGAAATTTGGCTAAGGGCCAATCAGCACCCTCCCTTACACAGTCCCCACCCCAGCACACATCGAGCGCTGATTTTGGCTAAGGGTCAGTTAGCGCCCTCACACAGCCCCCAGCACGCATCGAGCCCTGATTTCGGCTAAGGGCCAGTTAACGCCCACAGTACGCATCTGGCACTGATTTTGGCTGGCCAGATAGTGCATTAAGGGTAGTTGCCTTGCTGCCCTGTTTCATCAGGGCTGGAGGGTCGCAAACCCTGGTTTTCGAAGGGTAAAACATTTGCTACACTTTTTTAATCAGGGTTGTAAAATCGCAAACCCTGAAAAATCAGCCTAACTCGAAAAAATACCCTGAAAATCAGAGTAATCAGGGCATTTTACCCGGATATTTTGGGCCCTGACTGTAACCCCCCCGGACATGTACAAGCAGCACGGTATAGTGTAAAAACAATCCATGATAGTTCATTTACTACTCATGCTAGAGTAGCCTTTCAACTTCGTTCACACTAGAACCCGCACTCGTGATTCTTTTCTTTCACCATTCTTCCACTCGAGTCCATCAAGTGCCGCTCCACCAAGGCGAGGTCCTCCTCCATGCTCCTCACAGCTTGCTGCCTCGCCATCTTCTCATCAACCCACGCTGAAGCTCTTGCCCTTGCGCCCCCCCCTCCCACCTCCTCCCTGAGGGCATCCAAGTGTTGGGCCACTCGGGCCATGGAGGGGCGGGAGGCGGTGGGCATGGCAGTGCAGCTCACAGCCAGCTGGGCAATGCGCTTGATGAGGTCATCCAGTACTGCCATGCGCGGGTCTCCAACAAGTGATGTCTTCCCGGTAGCCATGAGGTGAGTTGCCTGTTGGGTGGGGGAAGAGAACGCATGCGGTGGGCACAACACATGGAGGACATCATGGCGAGCCCAATGCAAACAATTGTTGAGCCTTGAGAATACACAGCCGTTTGGAAATGGAGATTGGTTTCTGGTCGCCAGAGTCGTCCGCCTCACTGCCCCGGTTGCGCTCATTGATCGTGCCTCCTCTGCCTGACAGCCCCACCAGCATGAGAACGCCAAAGCTGGAGGCAAAAGGGCCCGGCAAAAGAAGAAAGAAAAATGCAAAAGATTGAAGAGAGAAAACTAGCAATCGCCAAGTGACTAGAGTAAAATCCAACTATACACCCCTGCGCACTAGAGCAAGCAGAATATTCTGAAGGAATACTGCCCTAGCTACAGGTTGAGTTATTCCAGTGGAAAATCATGGGCTCATCCTACGCAGTTCACTTTTAATGGGAGCTGGTAAGGGCCCGACATCACACGTGCACACTTCAACAACACACATGCACACTTCAACAACACACATGCACACTTCAACAACCCACATGCACGCATCAGCAACACACATGCTCACATCAACAAGAAACATGCACACATCAGCAAGACACATGCACACATCAGCAAGACACATGCACACATCAGCAAGACACATGCACACATCAGCAAGACACAAGCTCACATCAACAAGACACATACAAACATCAGCAAGACACATGCTCACATCAGCAGGGCACCTGTAGACATCAGCAGGGCACCTGTAGACATCAGCAGGGCACCTGTAGACGTGGTGGCGTTGTGTGTTCTGGAGTACGCGGGGTCCACATAGCCCACCGTTCCAAGCACTCGTGTGGAGCCCATTGCCATGCCCTCCCCCACACGCAGCAGCCCAAGGTCCGCCACCTTGGCCTGGGGAGTACGGGCAGGCAAGAGGCGACCAGCGAGTCGTGTGGGCATGGCTGCACCACGTGCCTCATCCTTCCATGCAGCTTGTGAGAGCAAGGTCCAACCTGCAAACACCCTGCCAGAGTGCTGCCTTGGAGAGCGTGGACAGGCCTGCCAACAGACCACACAGGTCTCCTAAATGCCTAATCACCCACACACACATATGCATCAAACCCCACCAACAAGCCATTTGACAATAAGGATATCACCCACCAATAACTCTGAGTCAGTGTCTTGGAAGGGCGTGTCACATGTCACGGACACCACTCAGGGTCGACCATTCAGAGAGGTTGAAGGTGGTATAGCGTGGTTCTCTGCGTATTATATTATGAATAGCGTGGTAAATTGCGGTTAATGTTCGGTTCGGAAGCTGTTCGTAAAAATGTGACACGCCCTAAATGCCCGACCAGCCTACAAAACTGTAGGCATTGCGACAAAAGCTATCAACCAGCCATTGACAGTCAGGAGAATCCCCACACCTGCATGTGCACATCAATGAGGATGTTGGCCGGCTTGATGTCGCAATGCACTGTGGAGATACTCCAAGCCACGTGCAACCCCGATGAGAATGTTCACCCGCTGCTGCAGAGTCAAGCTTGTGGGGGCATCTGAAAAATGGCAGAGCAGAGGCAAGGCAGCTTGGGTTGGTTGGTTCGCTGAGCCAACAGGAATACATTCTCGAGCTTTGAACGCCGACTTCAATAAATACTAAATAGTTGCTGTTGGCACAAAAACTGCATCAAGTTACAAAGATAACCATCACACTAGCAATGGATGGCGCAGCCAAATATGTGAACCCTTGTAGTGACTACTGCTGACCGTAAACGCTTCCTGTTACACGAATAGCCCTCACAGCCGGGAATGCTTGTTGCAACCAACAATCTGAGCTGTACCTTGTCCGATCCACCTGTGCAGGTCGCCATTGGCAATGAACTCGTAGACGAGAACATTCTCCACCCGCGTGTTCACATCGCCTGTAACTGCAAACCCCAGCAGCCGCACCAGATTGGGATGGTGCTTCGTGGCCATCTGAGCCACCTACGGAGAGCCAAGGAGAGCAAGGAAGGAAATTCACAAGTTAAGCTATCGATTCCTTTCAACTGTTTTGGTTATGCAAAATCACACATTTCTTGGGAAATACGAAAGTGGAGCTGACTTGGCTCATTACTGTTATCATCACTGTTTTCACTGTCTTGGTTTTCATTTTTTTTAGAGCTGACTTGGCCGGCGCACATGCACAGGGAAATACGAAAGTGGCGGCAAATCAAAGCATGCTCGTCCAGCATGCACGCATGCATGCATGCATGCGAAATTGAGGCAAGCATGGCGTGATCGGTACAGCTTTGCATTGAATGGAACGGCTTAGAACTGCCTGACACGGACTATTTCTGGCTAGACCAGAGCTTCTCACGTTGGGCAAGTGTGCATGTGGCACAGAAGGAACTGCACTCCGTGCAAAAGGCGAGGGAAAAGGACTGATCAACCACGCAGCTGGAAGCATCTGGAGGGCATGTGAGACCCGAGTTTGTTATGTTGCTGCTTGGTGGGGCGTACAGTGGAGGATGTGGAGGATGTGGAGGAGGGGGAGGTGGAGGGAGTGGATTTGAGAGATCGAAATTGGGATTAGGAGTTGAGGGGGGGGGGGGGGGGGGGGGGGGGGGGCGCTGGTGCCAGGAGAAGTTAGGCTAGGATTTTATTAATCTTGCTTGTGGGTGCCCCTGTTGCTTTGTTGTCTTTTGGCCCTTTGTGGCCTGCTCGTGTGCATTGCGAATCCTGTGGTTGGTACGAGGGTTTCATCAATGATGAGGACCGCTTGAGTGAGACAAGTGGTGGATGTTCTTGAGAGGGCGGTGAAAAGGAGCCGCGCAGGGTACACAAAGCATAACATCACATCACCCGCATCAAAAGGAAATTCTTGAAGCTACCAAGAGCAACAGGTGGCAGCCCTGAGAACTGGTTCCCAGTAAACATACTGCAATGTCCTACCACGACAGAGAATCTCTGGGAAAGACTAGAACGGATAACACCATGGGGCCGGGCAGATGTGATCTGTGAAAATTGGTATGACATGCAAACCGAAGCTCAAAACTCTGTTTTTGGAATCAGTGGTGAGTCTCT